ATTTAATTGGTGAAACAAAATTATTTAATTAATTAATCAATAAAATGTACTAGAACTACAACTAGAGAAGAATTAAATTATATTGCAAAAAGATCATCTTTTTAGTCTGCTGCGCTGTCCCCAAGCTAAACTTTGGCTCTGCCAGTCCTCCTCCTCTTCTCTTCCCTTGAACCCTGATCACCATAATGAAGCCATTAATTAATTAATTTGAAGGTAATTAATGAACCTCGAATACTTTCAATGACAGTAACTGTGCTGACCCTACATCATCACTCATCGAGCTGCTGTTGCTGCTGCTCCATTGTTTCTCTGTTCTTTTCAGGTTTTTTTCACTTCATTTTCATTTTCTGTTCTCTGTATCAGCTGGTGGTAATGGCAGTGGACAAAACAAAGCACCCAAGGCAAAAAGGGAAACCCCTCAGCAGCAGCAGCAGCCCAAACAACCCTAGCCCCTTTTTGTTTCAGGTTTGTTTTTTCCATTCTGATTCTAGATCCCTTTTTTGAAGCCTTTTTACCCGTAACAGAACGCACTGTTCTACACTCACCTAATGGACACATTGTACTCGATTGGCGTGCAGGGAACGCCGCCAATTGACAGGCGGTCTTTGATCTCCTCCAACGAGGCGCCCAGGTTTGAGCCCTCGATCGTCACCAGCGTGCCACCCTCCACTGGGCCTGAAATGGGATGAATCTAAAAGGGAAAGAATGGGGAAAAAGAAGGGGATAAATTAGAAAAAGCGAAGAGAAAGAGAGCAGGCAAATTCAGTTTAGTTAATTGAATTTTCAATTAACGCACACACGGCATACTAATGAGCCGGGGCTACTGACTAGGAAAAATCTATTTGAAAAGGCAAAAAAGAGAAAACAAAAGTAAAAGAATAGAACAGAACAGAATGGAACAGAACAGAACTGGTCAGAGAGTGAAACCTGATCAGACAATGATGAGAGAAAGAGAGAGAGAGAGAGAGAGAGCGAGGTGGAAAGCTGAAAGCGTTCTGTTCTTTTGTTTAATTTAATTGTTGAATTCAAGATAGAAGAAAATGAGAATTAGGACTATTTTTGCTAAAAATTTAAACTGGTTGAGTGCTTTAAAATGAGGACTGACTTTACACACTGACTGGACAGGACTTTAATTGAGTTGATTACTCGGTTGAGTAAAAAGAAAAAGGAGGAGTTGCTGCAACTCATTATTCAATTAAAAACAAGGAGTTGGAAAGCATGGCAAAAGCGATTCTTTATTTTAACTCTATTAAGCAGAAAGAACTTGATTGCAATTTTAATTAGTTTTTTCTTTGTTTACTTAGTCTCACTAAAGGGTCAATCAATATAACAAAAAACCCTCGTTGTTTGATAAAACAATTAACAGTTTTAAAACTTTTTTAATTAGTTTCACAAAAAAAGTTGCCAATTTTTAAATTTTGATGAATGAAGATGAAAACTGCCAATCAATTAGCTTTTTTTATTTTAAAACACTAAACTTTATAGGAAAAAATACTTTGAAATAAAACAAACAAAAAGGGGTACACTTACGTAGTCGATCCTCGGCGGCGGGCAGCTGACCACCGGTTTGGCGGGCGGCAGTTCGCCGCACTGGTCCACGTAGGTGCAGCCGCTTCCGCACCAGACACAGCGGTATCGGCTGTCCCGGGTGCCGCACAGCGAACAGTCGGGTCGACCGCTGTGGGCACCTAAAAACTGGCACTTGTACAGCGTCACTGTACAGAAAGAAGGTAAAAGAAGCGGGAAAAAGACAAGAAGACAAGACAAGACAAGACAAGGTTTGATTAATGAGCAAACGCTTTTTTTTCTTTACACTAAACAAAGATACGATTTGATTGCTACACACTGAATCTTAACAATTTTGTATGCTTTTTTTGTATATTCAGTGTTCAGTCTGGTCACTTTCAGCCTAAAGGTCAGTTGCTTTTGGTTGTGCTGTGTGTGTGTGGTCTCATCCTCCTCCTTACCATTAGTGCGATCGATGAAGGTGTCGCCGTTCCAGAGGACCGTCAGCGTGGCATTCTGCTCGCCAATCTCCTCTTGGTAAGATAGCTGATGATTCCACCAAAAAAAATTAGCCGAGGGGCGGCAGTTAATTAGCAGTTAATTAATTAGCGTTGTAGTCGAGGTGGTGGTGGTAGTTTTAGTGGTGGTTACAAATTAGTTGTACGGCGTAATTTGGTGGTGGTAGTCATTTTGGTGGTGGTTGTGGCAAAAATGGTGGTTTAATGAGTAAAGGGAAAAATGGTGGCAAAATAGTAATAAAAATGAAAAATTAGTTAAAGGCTAAAAAAGGTCGTCAAAAACTGTTTGTAATTTACCGTCGTCTCGTGGCAGATGATGTTGTTGTCCTGGACACGTGCCGCCACTTGCTCCTTGGCCTGTTCAATCTCAACGATGCACTGGAAACCGTCCTGAAAAAAAACAAAAGCAAAAGAAAATACCAAATAAATCAAATTAGTCAAATAGTTTAAATTTAGTTAAAAATTTTAAATTTATGAGTAAAAAAATTTAAGTTATTTTACCTGTGACGGAATGAGATTTCTCACTTCTACGCGAAGCTCTTTACGGGCGCCGTTGGGCACCAACAACGGCGATTCAAGGTGAAATGAGGGACAGTGACTGAGGCCCTTTATTAGCGAGTTGGTGGGGCTCTGCAGGGACAAATACGTGAAGATGAAGATAAAGATAAAGATGAGATTAAATACAAAAAAGTTTAAATTTTGAACTTCTTACATTCTCCCCGACAATGACCCGGCGAGTGCAGGTGCTAGTGTTGTAGGTGCACTGATTCTCGTGCATGCACCAGTTGCAATTCCAGGCAGAGCTGACGCACGATTTGCAGCTGTGAAAAAGTAAAATTTAAAATTACAAAGTTAAAAAGTTTAAACTCAAAGTAGTTATTTTTGTTTGATAATTGAAAATACACAGTGTGTGGATTTGATTTGAAACAGTCAATCAATTTGGTTAATTTGCAAAGCTGTAAAACGCAACTTTAGTGTTTGTAACACTAATGAGCTAGAGAGCTCAAACCAAAATTTGTTGCTGCTAATTTGACAAGGCTGATTTGATTGAGAAAGCCTGTCCTGATCAAACAAAAATTGGCCAGCATTGATTAAACATTCAGCATCTACTTTTTATCAACTATTTTACAAAATCACTAAAACACTAAAAAACCTCGCTAACTAACACAAGAGCACAAACAATCTCAACAACAGCTTTTTACGCATAGCATCTTCTTCTTCTGTTTTTATCTCCCCTTTTTATCCCCTTAATTAGCGTAATAAATTGAATTAGCCTAGTGAAACGGATAAAAAGAAGGAAAAAGAAGGGAAAAACGGAAAAAACAGGCGACCAGCAGACTGGAAGCGACTTTTTACTGCAGCACTTGCAACTGAAAACCGAAAAGAAGAAAATGGAGCAAACGTTTTCAAGCGAGCTCACTGAGGATAGAACCGAATGGAGCGAAAGGGAGAAAACAGTGAAGTGAAGTGAACGAGCGTAATTAAATCATTGCCAATGCAGACAAGCGAAAACACACTCAGTCAGTCAGTCAGTCAGTCATTTAGTTAGCCAAAGATTTATCAAGAAGATCTAAAAACGGAGCCCCTTGAAACGGAAATCACACGCGCTGCTGAGCTTCAAATTTTTTTTTCCCTTTTTTGCTCTCCCCCCCCCCTTTTTAGCAAAAACGAAATGAATGTACAATGAGTTTAAATTTAAATCTTTTTAAAGCTTGGTAAAACAAAAAAGCTATTTTTCAATTAATAAGCAAAAAAGAATGTGTGTGTATTGCATTGCACTTACGACTTGTGCACTGAGCAGTCAAAGAAGACGAAAGACCGATGAATAAAGTCGGTGTCCGTTTCGCTGCTCCTCACGGCGACGTTCACGCTGGTGTGGTCTGGAAAGGAAAGGAAAAAGGTGTTGATAAATAGAATAAAAAGGAGTTATCAGTTTATCAATTTATCAACTCCTGTTTTTAAGTGTACTTACCTTCACCTCGAGGAATTTGAGGCCTGCTGACCAGTGAAGGCGTCTGACAGGTCAGCCCGTGGCGAGTGACCGTCGCGGGAATGGGCGAACTGGCCTCGAAGACACACAGATAGTTGGCACCGTAAGGCAACGGTGGAAGCTGGTTGATGATAAGCTCGACCTGAAAGGAAGTGATAAAAAATTAGTTAGTTAGTTAGTTAGTTGAAAAAAGTTTATCAGAAAAAAACAGAAAAAGAAAGTTGCTGTTGTTTACATGATTGACAACTGAAAACTGAACATTTTTCCGCTGTATTTTTGCATGTTATGTTTTTTAGTGTTTGTGTGTGTTTTAGTGCTTGGTTCTGTGATTAGTCAGGCTAGGCTGTAATTGGTCAAACTTTTTTTGCTGCTAAAACAGTTGCAGTGGCAGTTGTGGCAACAAATCAAAAGAGTACTCTTCTTCTTCTGTTTTTGCTCAAGCGTAGGCAAATTGTTTGCCTGTGTGTGTGTGTGTGTTGTATTAGTGTTCTGGTAATTAGTGAACCGTTAAAATGAGAGGCATCAGCAGCAGCAGCAGCAGTATCGGTCAAATGCACACAGACACACAAATGCATGTAATAATTGTAGTGTTTATGTTTATGTTTTTTATTCTTTCTGTGTATGTCCAGTAAGTTATTGGCAAGCAAAAACTGATCACTCGCTGTGTACTCTGTGTTTTACTGCACTGTGTTTTATTTGAAGCCAATTTTGCAAATCATCATCATCGGCAGCAGCAGCAGCAGAAAAAGAAAAAAGGAAAAAGTGGTATCAATTTTTGCAGTTGCTTTTGATGACGACGATGATTGCCGCTCTGGGAATTGCTGCTATTGCACGCACACACACCAAAAATCGACAGCCAAACGACAGACATCACTGACAATAAAAGAAGAAAACTGTTTTGCCAAAAACGATACATCTCTGATCCTTAATGCTAATGCTTATGTTTAGTAGTAAACAAAAATTATTTTTTGCTGTTTCCAGCAACTCAAACTGGTTTTGTACTGGTTTTAATTATAAAGGAAAAATACTTACAGGTGCGACCACATCACGTGGCAGGTACTCCGGCTTGATCGCCTGAAAGTCAATGCACTGGGCCGTTTCCAGTGAAAGCCATCGAGGCGTCGAGAAGAGACTCGATGATGATGATCCTTGGTGATGGGGGTGATTGGGACTAGGCATAGGCCCACCATAGTGACCGAACTGACTTTGGTGGCTGTGATGATTGTGAGGGTGATGGTTATGATTGTTGTGGTGGTGGTGACGGTACGAGTGCGTCGATGATGATGATGATGATGATGATGATAACAGAGGATCACCTGAAATGGGTGAATTTGATGAAGAAGATAAAGAAGATGATCCCTGCTGGACATTGCACTCTGCCCTGACGGTGCACCGCTTCTGCAGGGAACACCAGCCGCAGTAGGGATTCCTCGCCTGCAGGCATCGATCACAGCTGTCGTGCTGGACGCACGTCTCAACGGGAATTTTGACTACCTAAAAGTGAAAAAAGAGGTAAAAATGGATAAATTAATAACAGCATCTAAATCCAGTGTTTTAATTTAAGGAAAAACTGCCAAAAACGGTTTCAAAATAAATTCAAGTTGTTTTGTAAAAACAATTTTTATTTTTTTCATTAACAATAAATTATCAAAAAGCTGTCAGTTTAACTAATGATGCTGATGAAGAGGAGGAAGAAGAGGATGAGGCTGGTAATGATGACCACTGCTGTCAGTTTTCTCTCTTCCTCTTTTGTGGTCAGTCAGTGTCCCCTTTTTCCCCATACAGCTGCAACTGTCCAGTCAATTGCCCCGTAATTGGCTAATGAGTTGGAAAATTAGCACGACTAGCTACACTCGGAAAGAAAGAGAGCAGAAGACATAAATTGTGGAGATTCAGTGAAAGATTCAGATTTAGATTTTTGATTGGCCGCAATAAAGAGGACATTACAGAACTACAGAATCAAGAAGGCAATTGCAAGGGCCAACATTGAAGAAAATGAGCCAACTGGTCTGCCACAATGAAATGGCAGCCCAAAAAACGGGCAGAATGAAACAGCTCTCAAATTACTCAAAAGTAGCCGCAGTCTGAGTTTAATGGCGCAGCAACCTCCTCCTTTTTATTCTCAAAGCAAAAACTGCGGCCATAAATCACTGATTGGTAGTTAGTGGTAGTCGGTCGGTCATGAAAAAGATTTGAAAATGAACATGAAAAAAAGAAGGAGAGGGAGAAGGAAGGAGATGAGCTCAAAATAAGACATCTCTTTTTTCTCCCCATTTCTATTTTGCGGTCTAGTTAAGTTAAGAGGAGAAAAAAAGTGGCAAAAAATGTCATCACCAGCCACTGAGTTTCAGTTCCATGGGGGTAAACCATTGCCATTGCCATTGCTCATCTTTTAGTGCAGAAAAAAAGAAGGAGATTTCTTTGGCCCCCTCTTTTGGTGCCTTCTCTGGTGCTTGAGCAGGCAAATTAATGGTGACCAATGCTGACCAACGACGATTACAACTGTCTGACTCTCTGAATGTCCACTGTGCTCACTGTGAACTGTACTGTACAACTTTTCTTTGAGTAATGTTTCCCCAACCACTTAATGACCTAAAGTTTTTTTCTTATACTGTTTTTTCAGTTTCCAAATCTGCAAAACGACTTGCTGATAAGAAAAAAAACTAGTCTAAATATAAGCTGACTACAGGCAAATTTGTATAAAGTACAAAAATATTTTTTAATGCTCAGTTTTCATTAGCAAATGAGAGTACTTTTTAGATTTGCATTTGAAAAATTTTTTTTAGTTTTGCTTTTTTCAAACTTGAACGTACATTTAATGTCATGCTATTGTCAAGCTGTAAATGTTATGATATCGATTATAAGCTACTTAAAAATGAAAAGTCAGTAATGAAAAAGTAGTATTTGTCATTAGCAAGTGCTGAACACAGTAAAAGAAAGTGCTAAAAAGTTGAAATGTACGTTTGAAAATTCTCTAGTTGCTGCTGTTGTACAGTTGAAAAAAATTTAAAGAATGAATCTTGAAAATATGATAATGAAACAATAGCAATTAACATTTTCCTTTGTTTTTTGTTAGTGATTACCAAAAGCTTTTAGTGGCGCACGTAATTGTTGCTGAGAGAATGTTTTGGTAAAGTAAAAATATTTAAAACTTAGCACTCAGGCAGCACAACACTTTTTTGCACTATTAGCATCTTTTCCGATCTTAATGATGGGTAATTAAATTAATAATATGAGATGCCTTTAGTGAAAACAGAAAGGAAAAAAGTGCAATGCAGCTTGTGCAGATGTGTGTAAAAAATGGAGGCAATAAATATTTAAGTAAAAACAAAAAAACATAAAGCAAAACATGGCGAGGATATTAATTAGGTTTGAAGAAAAAACAGCATATTTTTGTTATTGCTACCTCTAAAATGTGCAGACGTGCAATTTATAGTACAAAATGAAAATAAATTTAGTTTTTAGAAAATTATTTTAAAATCACAGTTATAAATGCTTTAAAAATCATAAACTAGATAAATGACATTATCATCATTTGTTCAAACTTTAATTTTGTGATCAGTTTTCTCTTTTTTTCATAATTTTTTGTAAAAATAACTAATCGGCACTTAATTCTAAAACTACACTGACCACTTTTTATTTGTTATACTATTTATTTTTACAAGTTTAGAAAAAATGCTTTTCTTTCTTTTAACATACTTAGCCACAACTACTCCAAAGAAAGAGAAAAGACATCGACTTTTAATGAGCCACTACCGCCTTGATAATAATGTGAGGTTGTGCTTTTTGTCAGTGAGTGAGTGAGTGAGAAAAACCACAGCAAAGAACCCG